GCTATCCACTGTTTTAGTATATACTAATTAAGTCTATTCAATTAACCTCTGCAGATGAGAGCTACCATTATGCATGTCAGAACTTTGCCAGTGTAGAAAATGGCCAAAATTGTTCTAAACAATATGGACTTTGTTAGATTACTTTTTAAGACAGACGCTTCTTAGAATGAAACACTAAGTCATATTCAGAATTCTACACATTCCTATTCATCACATACAATCTAGTAACCCTTTCCTTGGTAATTGTACTAATATCTGGGCACTGCATGATGAAATGGTAAATACACATGTATCATCTGAGTCACCACTGGTAAACCATGTTTATCTCATTACAGAAAGTTTCTGCCTTTCCCTGATTTTACATTATTTTCCACTAGTGAAGAAAACTTCACATTAGGTCCTCAGCAGACATTGAGAGAACCAAAATGGGAGTATTGTGGTATAGTGTTGACTCACCCTCCTCTATGCAGTCCTCAAGGTAAAATGTACAATTCTTGGTCAACATGTATCTCACCAAAATTCAACAAACTTGATGTTCTTCAGTCTTAGTCAATGGGAAGGGAGAACAAGTTTCAGTGACACCTGTGAGTGTTTTATTGACCTGAATTCTACCTCTAACTTAGAGGTTTCATTGTTGCATTTTTTTTTCTGTGCTATGCTGTCTTGCACAGAGCATGGGTGTAGTTGACTTGAACCACTTCTGTCAACTGTTTACTTTGATTATTCTTTAAAGGTTAACACACCCGAACAGGCATAAAATCAAGGCAGACTAGAAGTTGTTAGAGGGAAGGAGTAGCAGATGAAAATAAAGGAGCTTTAGAATCAAATGGAATAAAATATAATTTGACTCCCACATAATGTTCAGACAAGTGAAGAAAAGATCCTTGCAGGTGAGTTGCAATTAGGAAAAAAAAAAATAGGGAAAAGAGGCCTAAAAAAACTGATTGGGACCTGTATCTCCCCAGGTACCAGTTGGGGGTTACTACCAACTGGGCTAAAAAGCCACATGCTGCCAGCAAAGACAATTTTGATGGGTTCTTCATACCGGTAAAGAGATCTGAAAACAATCAAATGTAATAAATCGTATGTTGACCTGCAGATATTATTCAAGTATAAAAAAGATCCTTCCAAATGAGCCGCCTTAAAGAAATTGCAGAAAACAAGCCTGAAAAAATTAAGGCTTCAACAGGATTCAAACTTGTGTCTCCCAGATGCTAGTTGGGTGCTACTAACAACTGAGCTGTGGGAGATACAGAGGGAAAATGGTTAGTGTGAAGAACCAGGTTTAGGAGCTGGCAAGGTCAAGGAGTTAACACTTTTGAGGCTGTGCTCTACGAAAAATTGAAGGGAGCCCAGTGCTCTGAGACTGTGAAATCCAGGGTGCCCAGCATAAGCTTTTTATGAAAAAACTAAGATTCCAAAGTCACCCAAGAACAAAAGTAAGGCGCCAGGGGCTGCCAGGCTCTGCTAGACCACATCCCTAACTTTGCTCTCACAATGCCTCTATCTCCACCCATGCCAGGAGTTTAACTGGGTACTGGCTAAGCCACATGCTTGGGACAAGGCAACTTTTAGTGTTTAAATGTAGAAGGTAACTGTTCACCTCTGCACAGATCATGAAATTGGTCACATTCCTGATTTCCATTAACTTCAAAAGCTCATTTTCTTTCAACAACATGGGAATCCAATCATGAAGAGGTCTTAACATCACAGTTAAAATGAAACAAATAATAAAGAAACAAAATGAAGAAATGCTCCTGGATGAGCTGTCAGTTAAGTCAGGTCTTGACAGAATGCACAGCCATGCCTCTCCAATATTAGTTGGGTGCCATCACTGACTGAGTTACAAAACCACATGTTGGGAATGAGGCACCAATTTTTTTTTTCTGAAAGTGGGTTTTTCTTTCCTGTACATGAATCTGATCACAGTTTTGACAAAAGACATCACATTTTGACCTGACGATGAAACCAAAGAGAAGAAACCATCCTCTAAGGAACTATTATTGTCTTGGATACCAAAAGGCCTGTCAGAAAGGGCCTTTATCTACATACCATGCATTTGTTGTCAAGTTCAAGTGACATTACACCTACAAAACTTCCCATCTGTGATTTTGTTTTTACTTTTCAGGTACCACAGCAGTTAAAGGGCTTTTTGACTGTATGATGTAAAGCCTAAACCAAAATAAAGACAATGGTTTGTCAGAAGAAAAGAAACCATCATTAAGGGTCAGTGAGAACTCAAAATACTCCAAATAACCCAAAGCACGGGAAAATGCAAGCAACCAACTCAGATTGGTTTTGGTTATTTAATCTGATTTGATGAGAGTGGTGCAAGTTTTCTGGACCAATCGCAGAGCAAAGTAAGGAAAATACAAAACAATCCCAGATTGCTTTTGACACTCAAACTGTGTTTCCCTAGTGGATGAAAATGAAAGATTTAGATGCCTGGCACAGCATCACTAACGGACTTGCTGCACAAGAGAAACTTTGACCCAAGGGTGTTAACTGAGACTGCAAGTACTCTGAAAAGGAATTCTGTTTTGGCAATAGGAAAATTTTCCAAACTATGATGCCGAATAAACACCCTGCAATCCAGAGATATTGTATCATAAATTTCATACAGATCCTCTTCAGAACCTCTTTGTCACCAAAAAATTTAGAGAGCACTTGCTCCTTGGCTATGGTGAGGCAGTATAATTATGCACACAATAAAGTCTACTATGAAATTTATCATTATGCATAGCGCACTGCACAAACTTTGTGCAGGGATGACAGCCTTCAACTTTCCCAGCAACTAACTGAGTGTCAGCATATGGGTAGACATCATGTACAACAAAGACCAGCAATACAGGGAAAAGCTGGGTCATTTCTATCTTCAAGCTGTGTAAACTACACATGACAAGCAAACCATATGATGGCTACAAGTCTGCATATTTTAATAAATGAAGCTTACCAAAACTGTCACCTCAAAAGGAGAGAGAATAGGCAAGAGAACCAATTCTCAAGAGAAGAATGGAAAGATTCGATAACAAAAAAGTCATGGCAGTTTCAGCACCCCTGTTTAGTGTCTAATCTGGAAATGACATTCCTTTACATCCTCAGAACCTTCCTTTAAGGTAGCACTCTTTTAATAATAGGGACTTTAAGAAACCACGACGGCTACGCCAAGGAAGACTTCYATTAAAAAATGAATTTCTACTCTTAGTTAGAATTTCAAAAATGGCTGCAGGAGCTTACTGTCTCATACAGCGCCACAGCTCAACTTCAGTATGACGTATAAAGTAGCCGTTGAGTTCCAAATGGAAATTAAAATAATTTGCCGTCGCGGTTTTGGTTCGCAGACGACGCAAATTTTGGCGATTTCACGTTGTTGTTTTGCATAGGACGGCTAAGAAATGTACAAAGTTTCAAAACGCACGTGCTGAGCTATTGTTCTGCCAATTAGATCTCTTGTTTTTCCACGTCCTCGTTGCCGTCGCCGTGGTGGTTTCTTAAGGTCCCTAATCAATGCTTTTAGACAGATACTGCCAAAGATGTTGTGATGGACCATTACTACTATGTAAGGTGCCATCCTGCACACTACACGGATGTGTGTCCTTCCAAACACAATGGCTATCTATTGTATACTGAACCACCAGGCTATTTTGCCCATGGCCTTCAATCATGCTCAATGGAAAATTAATCCTCCTGTAAAGGTGAAGGCACATTTGCCCTTACAGAGAATCCAGCAGTTCTGAAATGATGGACAGTATCAAGTCTAAAATTCTCCCTCTGGTTAACTCTTTAACACCTTCAAGTGACTGGGGTACAAATTCTCCTTACAATATCACTGCTGGAAAATTTATTACAATCATGAGAATGAAGGATATGATTACCAAACAAATTCTCTTTATCAGGACCAAAAGAAAAGTAAAGAAACAAGTATGGAGAATATGGATACTGATGTTGGGTGTAATGGGCTGAGAGTGTAAATGACCCTCATCAGCAAGAGAAAGGTGCCATGTGCCTTCCTGCACACTAAAGTGATGTGTGTCTTTCCAAACAATGGCTATTTTACTGATTACTTGACTAGCTCTCTGTTCTCAGCCATGGCCTTCAATCACGCTCAATGACAAATCAATGCTCGTGTTAGAGGAAAAGGCACATTGGGTCTTACAGAGAATTCAGCAGCTCTGAAAAGATGGACTGTGTCAAGTCTTAAGTTCTCATAAGAATAAAGGAGATGATACCAACCAAAGAAGGTTTAATTGTTAAACAATTCTCTTGTCTTTACCAAAGGAAATGTATAGAGAAGATGGACACTGATGTTGGAGTAAGAAGGGTGAAAAGTGGAAAGAACCTTCATGAGCATGTAAAATTAAGAAAAGATCTACACTTTATGTAACAAAGATAAACATTTGTTTTTACCAATGACAACTTGCAAACACTGTACACATGTGAATTAAACATTTCAAAACAGGGTACCCAGAAATCCAAACAATTTACAAGGAAAGAAAAAAGCTAAGTAATAACCTAAAATGATTCTTCAAACATAGAAAAATAATGATTTAGAGGTTTGTTCTTAAAACTTCTTTCCACAAAATGCTTCAATAGATGCAACTCAAGAAAATTTTCAATATCAGTCTCTTTTCTGAGTTGACAAACTTCCAAGCTGTTGTCCTCATCTGCAGACATTAATTCAGAATGGCCCTTTATCAAAAATGTTGGTCTAAGGGTCTTAAACAATGCAGTAAAGTTTTCCAGTGGTTATCACTAATTCTAAAACGTTTGGCTGATAACTGATAAATGAAAGCTGTTTCTAAAGTGAGATTGTATTTTTTTGGTACTGATGAACATACTTGTTTCCTCAAAGCTTTCTACTAGAAAGAATATGGGATGATTGTCAGATAATTATTTTAGTACGATATCAATAGCAGAACAAATACAATCATGTTATGTACTGCCACCATCATTTTGCCACAACACATGGTGTCCATATTGCTTCAAACTTCAATACATGAAAAATTATCATTTTTTTACCTTACTAACAGTTTCACCAAAGCATAACTTTCTAAGTTAAATTACATGTACTGTAAATCTTTATTTCATTGAAGCAAGTTTGTTCATGCTACTAGCATGTTTCTCAAAACAATAAATAATCTCATTCCATGGTTTAACATATAATATGCAGAGACATTTTGCAAGTTGAGTCAGTTTGCTGACATTGAGTTCACGTTCCTGGCCTCGGCCCACAAAATTTCATCACAATTTTGCAAGTTGCTGACATTTTTCCAAGAATTGAAGGGGCATGGAAAATACGAGCAATGAGCACTATCATTTCACTTTTTAGTGTTTTAATTGTAGTTTGCAAAATACTTCCTACAGCCTTGTCTGTATCATAATATCAATTGGTTAAGGAGTATGCCAAAGACAAACAAAAGCAACTAGGTGTTCTTCATGACCAAACAAAAAATGTGCTACACTTAAAATTTTGTTTCTTTCTAAGACAAGCCTAAAAACAAAAAAAAAAACAAACATCAATGTTTGGATTGTTCCATGCAGTTGTTTTTTGCTTGGTATTTTTGCCCTGGTGTAGTATATTTTGCATAGTCTCGTGACCTTAGATGGTCAGTATTTGAATTATCAACTCTTACAGTCTATATGAATGAACGTGAGTGAAAGCACGCATGCTTAATCTCTAAGTTTTTAAAGATTTAGGTAATTATGAATTTTGGTCACAGCCTCTTTGACTTACTGCTATTTGACTCAAACCAGCAAGCCTCACTGTCAGTGTGGATGAAGTAAAGTATTTGAAGGCCAGATCTAAACTATCCCTGTAAAAATTAAAAAAAGGGAGTCTGAGTGCATAAAATATGTAAGGTGGTTAATTTTGAGCAAATTCTTTTCTGGTCTTAGAGTAATGGAAGTTTTATTTGCTCTATCAGAAACATGGCATGTTAGTTACTTTTCATGCCACACAAAACAAACATGTTTCTTTCCTTTTTTTAACCCTTTAAACCTTGGAGTGACCAAGATCTAATTTTTCCTCACATTAATGCTGCTGAGTCATTTATTAAGATTATCAGAATAAAGGAAATGGTTGTCAACCTGGGAAAATTTGATTGTTATACAAAGCCTCTCTCTCAGTACCAAAGGAAATGCATAGAGGAAAATGTACATGAAGTTTCCTTTTCAAACGCATCAATCGAGTTTAAACTTTAAAATTTCTCCTCCGGCAGCTCCCCAGGCATCTGAACTTTTGAAGATTGGTTTGTCCAAATTTATGCCCCCCCTGAACCAAATTTTTGTGTTCAAATACCCTTCCCAATGTTTTTGTAGAAGGCAAAATCAGTAACTGTGACTTTCTGCACATTGACCAAGCTTTAAAACCTACACCTTGTTAAGTGCAACGTTAATTGAAGCTCCCCTAAAGGGGCTTTTCAGCCTCAATGTAGTAAGGTTGAGATCTGACGTCAGCATTTTATCAGGCGCCTTCGGCAGCCGCTTCAGTCCATGTAGCAATCTCACCTTCCTACCCAGGGGAGGACATCCACCACACAGTAATCTCGTGTGTGGGAAATTAATGTCTCCTACCCCAGACCCTGCAGGAGACGGGACTTACGGCTTTACATCTTATCCGAGAACACAAAGCAATGTGAGTGAAGCGACTTGCTTAAGGCCACAACATAGTGCCCCAGCCAGGGCTTCAACCCGGGCCGTCCGACCCAGAGTCCAGCACTCTGACCACTGGAATACTCACGCCTCACCTTGAAGAACTCATGAAAATTGAATTGAACTCCTTAACTTTAAACACCTCGATTTATGTTTAAAGATATAATACTGGTTAGGAGAGATTTGACATTTCTGGTCCAAATTTCCCACCCCAGCCAGACTAGGTTAAAATTTCCTTCCCTCTGAGCACAGAGGACGGTCAAATGCCTACGGGTTGCCCTGGGGAGAGGAGAGAGATTTTGAAGCTTTGAATTGATCAGTGTATAACACTAATGTCTTGAAATCTTCAAAAGTGCAAACACCCCATACTTATCACAGATGGGTCCAGATTCCACAGGCCCTTTCACAGCACTCCACATAGAGTCAACCATGATACGACCATCTGGTTGTCGCAAATCCTTGTCTGTTAGTTTACAAAGATACCTGTATAATATCAAAAAGCACACATTGATTTATACAAATAAGCTGGGTTGTGTGTAACTCTACTAGCTCACCATAAGCAGAGTATTGTTGTTAAGAAATTGTGCTGCCAATTTCAAGTGAGGCTGCTCAAAGACAAAGTATCAAAGAAGGTGCTTTGCATGCAATGAGAGACTGGCCTGAAAACAATATTTTGGGATGCTTTGAGTGCACTAATTCTTCACTTCCTGTTTACAAAATGGTGGATGCCAGAGAAAAAAGGAAGTCACAATAAACAAGTGCTTAAAAAAATGTTTTCTTTTAAGTACTTTGTTTACTCTTTTCTTTCAATTACTTCACGCTTTACCCTGGTTTTCAAAATCTGGGCAATGGATTTGTCTTATCTAAATTTTGACAGGACAAAATATTCTACTGTATAAAATTAGACTAACCTTATGACAGGCCTTCGGAGTGGAATTATGTACTGCATGATTGCCTGAATGCTAAACCATAAGCGTAGCTAAAGAAAGGAATAAAAAGAGCTCAGCTTGAACACACGAGTGGATAATGAGAATTCAGAATAAATGGAACATTAGGCAAATAGTTTAAGGACACGTTGTAACAATACCACTTAATCAAAATTTCTACTACTACTAGGGCTTGACACTAACAGTAGCCAACTAGCCACACACTAGTAGAAATTCAGTTTTGGCTTGTGGTTTTCAATTTCCATAGGCCAGTTTGGTTAGTAAACAAACTGAAATTGTTGTAACATCTAAGTTGTCACTGGCCACTTGGCTAGTAAGATGAAAAGTGAGTGTCGAGCCCTGACTACTATTTTTCATTCGAATGAGGCATGAGAGAAGTTTAGTGACCACCATTCAACCTTAAAATCCAGATGTTATCATAGGAAACTAGCTCTGTTCTCAGTGGTAATGATTTGTTTGACTGCTTTGGTAGGTTTCCTCATTTGACTGTTGACATACCACTCTTGAGATTTAGTTACCACTAGAACCATAAGAAGGTTTCCCATGACAAAACCATTATTTTACAGTCAAAGCCCCCCATATCAAACTTTCTCTGCATCTCACTTGAACGATAATTGTAGTAACTTTGGAGGGATATAAGAGCATTCAATACATTTTACCTGAGTAACAATATTGATGAGATGATGAGCAATTGGAAATGGCAATGTAGTCGGATCAGCATCTTGAAATGCTTCCCTGATGGCACATAGACCACCATGGTTGCAGAAGTATGCTACATTAATCAAAAGAGCCTCTGGTACTTCCCCGTCCTAAAATGGCAAAATACTGTATAAGCTACTTGAACAAGTAATGTAGGAAAAGAGTCCCTGTGACAGTCCTTGTCCACCTCTTTCCTGCAAGGCTGCTGGGGTTTTGGAACAATGATACACCAAATGAGTGCGAATGTAGTGTCCTTCTCGTTGGCCAAGATCTTGCTCAAATTCAGCTGGAAAATTTAGCTGAGAGTGACTGCTTAGTGACATCCCTTGGATCAAGGTGAAGTTTGGAGGCTTACTAGCCCTTAAATTCTTTACAACCTAACATCAGTTTGTATACAGGGTTTTCATTAACTTTTGAAGTAGAAGGATGCTGCCATGTGAGTAGGTAGGTACCCTAATAAAATTGAGGGCTGAAGGCGTGAACCTCTAGTGGGGTCTGGGGGCATGTTCCCCTGAGAAATTTTTAAAACTTAAGTTTCCCAGGAGCACATTTTCCTACAATCTGGAAAAGACATTTTCTTGCAATGAATTATGATGCCTACTTAATCTAGTCTGAGTAAAGAAAGAATGGTACTCTGGGAGAATTTGACTGTTTTAATACACAGCTATAGCTATATCAAAACAATACTGTTGTTTTGTAGAGCCTCTTCAAGAGAGAAACTGACAACATTTCTGAAGTTTATGAAAACTCAAAGTCAGGGCCGTAATCAGAATCTTCAGCATCCAAATCTGTTAGCTCCAAGGCTTTGGAGGTTTCCTCTACTTCTTCCTCAATAGAAAATTACTTTCAGTCCAAGTTACTGGGAGTTTCAAAATATTGAAGATTCCAAACAACAGGATTCCAATGATAAAATTCTCAGCACCTAACAGGCTGAAGCAGATTTTCACCTTTAAAATTTTTGATGTTAAAGCTTTTGAATGCTTTTCTTGGCTTTATCTTGAATGAAAATTACATTGGAACAAATTTTCTTTCAAGTTTCTAAAAAACTGCTCAGAATATTGAAGCTTTGAAACCAAGAAAATGTTGGCTTTACATTGAGATGCAACTGTTAGCCGATGAGCATCTTTTACGGCAACACTCTACTCTTGTTGTTTATTTCACATTTTGAATTGTACTTCAGACAAAGTGTTAAATGAACAGTTTAAAAGAAATGGAAAACATAGGAAGTATTGTTACTGTATGTAATTTTTCAATAAAGAGAACCATTCCTCCAAATCCAATTACAACCAGAAAACATAAATTCAATTTTCTGGGTCATCGCTCTTGCTCTTTCATATGCAAATGAGTGCTTGCGTGTTTCCCTCAAAGAAACGTGTAAAGAATACAAGATTGATGAAATGCTTAAAACTAACTTTTTGACTTCTTGTAGGAAAATGACAAAAAAGAATCCAGGATGCCTTGAGCTTTTCTTTTGCTTGCCATTATAACTCCAGAGAATGCATTTGCTCTAAACATGTGCCACATTACGTGCAAGTGTTATGTAATAGCTTATCACGCACTTAAAGCACTCAATTAATGCGTGGCACCTTTCTTGTCAAAGTACATTTTACTTTCATGATCTTGGGGCAAGTAATTGATAAATAAGGGCAGTAAAAAGGTTTTAAAACTACAAGAGTATATATTAATTTTTTTCTTGATGACTTTTTTTTATTTTGTACATGAAGTAGCCAGGTACTCTGTTTTAAGTAGACAGGTGCCAGTCCCTGTGGCCCAGCTTCTAATAAAACCATGTCTATATTCTCTACACTGTTCTCTAGACATTAATTTTCCTAAGATGCTGACCAAGAGAACTTGTTTCACAATCAGGTGCTGCTTTAGTTGGCATTCATTTCCTTTACTCTTGTGACTCCAATGCTTGATTTAGGGTTGATTTTGTAAGGAGAAATTAGCTACTGGTCACTCTTGAGGATTTCAAGGTTCACTGTCATGCCTCAATTGTTCCTAACAATGGACTTTGTCTTTGACAAATGAAATTATGAACGAGTCAAATCTTTATTTTCCTTCTTAACTCTTTAACCCCATACATTGACCAGCATGTAAATACTCTTCAATATTACCCCTGAATCACACATCACTGTCATAAGAATAAAGGAAGTGATTGCACACTTGAGAAGTTCTCGACCGTTGAACAAATTTTCGTTCACAGCACCTTTGCAAATGTATAGACATGATGATGTTAGGGAATAAAGTCTTAGTGGTCTGTTTTTGTCAAATGACAACTTGTTTTAGATTTGTTAAATGCCAACTTTCTTCGAAGTTTTAAATTTTAAGAAAACAATATCCATGATAATACTACATTAAGAACGTTACAAAAAATTGGTTCATATGTACCTACTTAGGAAGTTTTGAAAGAACTCAAGAAGCTAGAGCTGCTCTCAGCTACACCTTGAGCTACTCTTAGGCTTTTCTCATGCTCTCAAAATCTCCAGTGTGTTTGATATCCTCAAAAACACACACTGACATATGAAACAATAATCAACTATCAAAACAATTTACTTACATTGACATCACAGTATTTGGAACAGTCTTTACTTGTTGTTTCCTATTAAAAAAAAAATATCAATAATTTGATTGACAAGGAAAAGAAACAACTTCCATATCTAGTTCTAAGAATACATTTAGATAACCGAGGGTCTACCAGTTCACATTTCCCTGCAAAAATTGGGCTGCCTTTTGAATACAATTCTCACCAGACAAAAGAAAAACACCTAGTGCACTTTATGAGTGAATCTCAAAATACAACCACTGCAACTGTAGGCAATTTAAGAGCAGCGTTATTCACTACGTCCTAGAATAGATAACTTTTCACTCTCCTTGGTAAATTATTCAGCCAGGTAATGACACTACACAAAATATCATTACCAGAAAAAGGAGAGTATCCCTTTTTTAACTTTACTCCCAAGAATTTATTGGTGTTTTTCTTTACTGTCTGTCATACAATTCTTATGAAGTTAGTTTAGAGGATTTGGTATTGGACCAGGTAATAATCCCCTAACTGATTTTTTTCTTCATTCGCATCAATTGTCTGTCTCAGTCACTCATTGGTAGTCTTAATGGTTAACAACATAACCAGAAAATGTATGAAAAATTAAAGGGAGAATTTCTAATTATATATCAGCAGTTCAAGGGTAACTGTATGTCATAGATAGCAGTGTAGGATAAAAAGTCATTGGATTAAACTAGCAAACTTTGCTCAGAATAGCCAAAAACTGAGACAGCCGTGTTGCCTTGTGCCCAGAGCATGAGCAGTGCATGCCTCTTGCATGCTGTTGGGCAGATTTTGTCCACACAATAAAAGATAACTTCAGTTTACAAAAGTGAAAAAACCTATTGAAGTGTTCTTGAGCGTGTGAACCAAAACTTTGAATTAACTTTAGAAGTTACCAAATGTAAGTGCAGATGAGAAAGATCATACCATTTTACCCTGTGATCCGCACACGTGCGAGGTTCAAAGTTGCTAAAAAGTTACATATGATCATCAAACTTTCCTGAGACAATTTTTGTTGACCGACCATATATAGTATACGTACACAAAACGTGTTTAAGAGGATGGGATCTATAATCCTTTCGAAATGACTGCTGAAAGTGCGATTAAAAAGCTCGCTAACACACTACTTAACCCCACAATATAAGCTGTTTAGATAGCTTCGTTTTAGAAATTAAATCCTCCCAAAGAGGTTTACTTCAAAAAATCGCACAACTTTATGCAACAAACCTGTCGCAAAAGATGAATCTTTCGCACTTGATAGAAAGGAAGAGGCAGCTGAAATACTTTTCCCACAGCAAGGAACAATCTCTCCTTTTCTGGTTGTGACCACTCGTTTTGATCCACCTTATTTTGATCTTCGCTAATTTCAGTTCCTTCCTTCTTCTCATCTTCGACAGCGGGAACACGAAGCTCGCATATAAGATCGATAGCGCATTTCAAAAGATGCTGAAGCAGATCTTCCAAGCGGGCTAAATTCAGCTGATCTCGGAAAATGCACCTACATTGCCTGAGAGAAAAGAGAAAAATAAGTAGACTTTCATGCATGGAGCTAGTCCGCTATGGCCAGTCTTTACCACGTAACAATCTCGCAGTTGCGGGTTTACATACCGTTGTGGCCACGAAAGGACAAACGAAACTAACTCTGTCACATCGTCTTTTCCAAATTCAGGATTTTCCAAGTCATCTAAATTGACAACAGAAAATTTCAGTCAGACACTCCTAAAAACTGTCTGGCATTAGCGAAAAAACGCAGTGAAATAGACATTTTTTTTGTTGAATTCAGTCAAACCTTACATTTATCAACAATTGATAGAAGTTCTTTGCAGCATTCTGACATTTTCTTAGTCAGAAGAGAGGAAAAATTTGCGATACAAAAATAATTAAGTATTTTTTTGAAGTTTTTATGGCTGAAATATAGGAAGTATTCACGCCATGTTCTCGCGCCATTTTGATTTTACCAGCCTCGACCTCACTCAAAATATAGCTCCCTTAGATTCCTGGGTAATAATAACCAGAACCCCAGGGGGAGGTTGAGGGAACACAATTACTCGAGATTCTAAGAGGTGACTAGAAAACGCTTATGCTTTCATTTTTTTTTTTTTTTTTGGGGGTGAGGAGTCAAATGAAAAAAAAAAAAAAAAAAGAAAAATTTCCTTTCCAGTGGCAATTCCTTCTCTTGTGATTTTTAACCATAAAGGGTGCTACCGTGTGTGTTTCACATGAATAAGCCTTTTATCGTTATCATTTCTGTTCAATTTGTGTTTAAGTTTATTTTGCTAATTGTGAATTTCCAACATCATTGTTTCAATAACTAGGTATAGTCTTTTAAGTAAGTCAAGCTTTTGGTTTGGGACTCACATGTTGCAGGAGATGAGTATTTGGGAGAATCTAGGAGTTTTCTTTTTTCTTTAGCACTCAGCCAGAGCTAAGATAAGATGTAAGTAGTTTCTGTTCCCATCTGTCTTGTTTTTCCTGCTGTATGCTATTATTTCGTTTTAGTATTGTAATTTCCCGCCGTGTTGACACAGAAAATCAGCTCTTTCCTTCGTAGTTTTCATTGTGAGTGATGTACCATCAATTCCACTAAACAAAGTCATTTCAAATCTAATTAATGACATCACTCTGGTTTAACTGGCAAACTCCCATAGACAACACCACATGCTGGCTCCGGTCCACTGGAAATGCAACACTGTACAATTGTGTAACAGTACCTAACAGCTTTCTGGTCCCCTTTTTCAAGGCAAGTAAATCTTTAATAATTGAAGTTGAGCAGTAATACACCATCCAGTCTTTATCCAAGAAATATTAGTTTCAGAGCATTGGTAAACACACCAAGAGGTCTGTGCGGAGGAGGGGGTTGCATAAACACTTAAAGCTACCCTAGATCCGACATCACCATTATTCAGATACGTACTACACCATACCATGCTTGGACGTATGCATTATTAACCAAGCATGAGGTCAAGATGGTTGGATATTGGCAGAGTTCTTTTTTTGCATTTTTATGGACCAAGATGAAGTCAAGGTCCATAAAAATGTGAAATAAGAACAAGGCTAATATCCAACCATCTTAACTGAACAAGCTTGGTTTAAAAAGTATTTATATCACAAAAAGATTTCCCTTTATTAAGAATTAAGAACGACTTGTTTACTTCGAGAGTCAGGAAAGAAAGCCAACTGTGTTTGTAGCAAAACAAACTCTCAAGAATCATTTCTGTTCTAACTATCTTCTGCTGCTTTTTGTGTTTCCATCGCTGAAATTGTCCAAGAAATATGAAAGTAGTTCTAATTCAGCTTTTTTTCAAGCGCAGGATCAATGCAGGCAATCCTGAGTGGGCAAGACAGGCCCATCTTGCCTGCTTGGGTAGCCAATCACAACACAGGATTCGCTTCATCTTGCCCATGCATGGGCACTGCAAGTGATGTAATAAAAAATGATGTTGCACACATTGGTGATTACCTTTAATTGACTTGTTACACTTCTTGATGAAAATGCATCTAACTAAAATAATAGATAGTAATTATATGATTGAATTCTACAGATTTTCATGTACCAAGGTACCTATCAAGATACCATGATTTTAACTTGAATTTTCTAATCTCAGTATTGAGAAAGATCCAGTAAATATTTGCGACACAATATTCCAAAAGTGTCTCAATGGCATGCAAGTGCTCATCAAATACTAAAGAATGATGCTTAAATATCTCAAAATGTCCACAGTTGTATTTTTGAAAATTGAGTCTATGTTGAGATTATGTTAAGTTTAAGCCATATTAATTTGTTTGTTTATGCTTAATCGTAAGATTAGTCAGGCATCCCTAGCTAGGATAGCCGCGGAGGCTACGGAATGAAAGAAAAACATTATGGGATAAAAGAAAAAAGCACATGGAGAAATAGAGTTGAAAAACTAAGAGAAGTCAGATTAAAATTGTTCAGTTTATTCAGTTGAAAGTGAGTCGTGAGTATATAGTCAGAAGAAGCAGTTCCAATATCTAGGAGATAATTACTGAATCACTCTCAGGACAACTTATCATCCATAACATTTCTACAATAATTTTCTACAAAATTCTTCTAAAAAAAAAAACAACCCGCAGCGATACTTAAATTGATGTAATCAGGGCTGTGTGCCATTGTGCCCATCATCCTGGTTGGTTTGTATCTGTCTCTCTACTCTTGTTTTTTGCATGGTCTCAAGCATATCTTTCATCCTATTCCGAAGGGAATCGTTCCAGTTCTCCAACTTGTCAAGACAAGAATTAAGTTGATCCAGCTCCTGATCAAGGGCTTCATATTCTGAAGCAAAAAGGTTAAAAGTTGAAAAAAAAAAAAACAGCACTGAATATGTATTGATTGATAAGGTAAGGGTCCCTTAGGGGTCTGTAATCTGGAGGCCCTATGCCTCCTGTTGTTGGACAGCTGATGGCCTTAATAATGGGTGCGCTGAACTTTAGATTCAAGCAAGGTGGGTTCATGCCCGAATGGGATCATTGAGTTGTGTTCTTGGGCAAGAAAGAGTACTCTCACAGTGCCTTTCTTCACTCACGAGTGTAACTGGGTACCATCCAACAAGTGGGGAGACCTGAAAAACTGCTTGGGGTAGCTGTGAAATAAGCTGGTATCTCGTGCAAGGGAATTCGCAGTACTCCTGGTTGCTTCACGCTTGGGAAACCAGGATAAGCTCTGACGAGATGGGCCTCTTGGATGGAGCCTTGTGAGTTTACATTCCTTCAGTTATCGTTTTATAACTTTGCCACTCTAAGGACGAAAGTGACACGATTGTCGTGATCCGACATTATCTTGAAATTCTGACTTTTGTATTTTTGATAGTACAAAGGTGTAGATGCAAAGTTCCATCTACTGAATGTAGATGAAGAACTACTTTATTCTCTCAACTCCGATGTTAAATCAGCTGCTAAAGAAGTTCTACGCAACTTTTCATCTTAAACCGAAATTGAAAGTGCTCGTCACATTAAATTTTAGAATTTGATCCAGAACCTACACCAGTGCATGAAAAGAATCCTCCTGTTCCTAAAATTATTCACTATTCCATATATTAATAACCTTTTTCGTCTTCATCGGGTTCACCGTTCTGTAAACTGCCATTCACCATTTCCGGCTTGCCGTTCAGATCATATAGGCCGTTTTCTTCCGCCATGATGGATAATTAACGTGCACGTGAGTGATCTGGAAACTAAAGATAGGGCAACTTACATGTTAGTTGCCAGATCACGTGAGTAATCTGGCAACTAAGCATGTACAGGATTTTTATTGAAATTTTGTTAATTTTAATTGTAAAGCGCATAGAGTTCAATTTTAATGCGCTATATAAGAACTTATTATTAAATTAAATTAAAGGAACGAGGACGGCCTGACGGCTGAGCGAGGGGCTGGGCACACTGTTCCGTGACTCAATTGCGCAAGTCTGAAACTTGCTCCTTGACGTAACTTAGCGAGGAAACGAAAAGTTTGTGGGGCAACACCGGCCTTGACGGTTTTTACCATTTTCCCTTCAGAAAAGAATGGCTAAATGGGGTGAAGGGGATCCTAGATGGATCGTAGAAGAGAGAGCTGACGCCAAAAATGTAAATAACTGGCACTGGTAAGAAATTGCACTTTGTGAAATGTTGTATGTTGTACAACATTAGATTTTAGGTGCACGTGGCTAGCTAATAATATTGACACCAGATACATGAAAATCTATTTTTTTTTCCTGTGATAAATGCACAGATCAAGCTTTTCCTTCTTTTTTCCTTACTCATTGTCCAATAGGACCGAAAAGAATGCCACACCTTGGTCCAAAGAAAGGTTAAAGACGCTTTTAAAAGATTTAGAAATCGAAACAGATGAAGGTAATACCTATAATAGGTTTGTGATGAAAATGTTAGTCACGAAATCGGAACTGCTTTCTTTCGGCTTCTTCGGAGAATTTTAAGCTTATGTGCATAGTGATCACTGGCTCAAAACAGAGCAAAAGCAAACGGAGCCGTGTTATAGTGATCGTGTTACTTATATAATTTTATATATATATACATATATATATTCAGTTTAATAGTCGTGTTGTTGCAACAGACAAGAGAAATAATTTCTCTTGTTGTCAAACAACCTTGACAAAATTTTGGTCAAGGTTGTTTGACAACATCAAGTGAGGCGATAGAATTTATTTCACCAACATTAAAAAAAAAAATCAAAAAGCTTGCATTTCACTTGTGATATCTTCTTTGAGACAACTGAGGCGCTGCTGTTCAAAATTGTCATTTACCAAAATTCACGGAGAATGATGGTTTCAATTCATATTCACATGGCGATGTTGTCTTACTTGACAAGTATAATTTGCTTTTTTTTATTTATCTTCTAGGAAAAGTTAAAATAACTGAGGTTACCAAAATTGATGGAGAAGCCTACGCCAAGTAAGTCCATGCATTGCTCAGGCCTCGATTTCATCTGGGGCTGAGATGTTTACTTAACTTCTGCTGTCCTTTCTCTTTTTAGCAACAGAAAAGCAAAACTAATATTTTTCTATGAATGGGTCATTACACTTGAATGGACAGGTTAGTTCATGGAACTGAATTGTATGATAAATTGTGTACAGAGGCCGTATCTAAGTAAAATTTGTTATCTTTTACTGTAAGCCATGGCAGGCTAACTTTTTTTTTGATTGTCACCCACTTGCTCAGGAACTGTTAAAGATGATGACAAAGTGTGGAAAGGAAAAATAGAAATTCCAAATCTGAGTGAAGAAAATGATGCTGATGAATTAAACGTGAGTTAATTAAAATAGTATTGGAATAGTAGTAATGTTTATTAATGATAATCATAACTTTAGTTGTGCAGTTGTTAAAATGATGATAATTACAATGATGATGACGATGAAGATGATGGTGGTGGTGGTGGTGGTGGTGGTGATGATGGTGATGATGATTAAGAAAAAACTGTCGCAAGCATTTGAAAGCTATATGCAATGTTCTTACATAGTGTTTGTGAAATGGTTTTAGGATTTTGTTTACAATAGAGGTTCATGAGGTTTTTTGGAGTTTCAGCTGTGTACATACACAATTTATTACTAATTGGATACTTTGTGACAGAGCTTGCTTTGCATCTGCAGGTGTTAGTGACAACTGACAAGGAGTCAGAAGCAAGTTTCAAGTTAAAACAACTTATAAGATCTGTTGGTACAGGTCTGATCAGGGAGAAGTTGGGGCAGTATATTAAGGAACTCAAACAAGGTTCTTGCTTCTTACACATTATTGTAAATTACATATTGTAATTGATCAACAAGCCCAGCTTATTTTATTACACCCAGTAGAATTGTTTGCAAGCTTGTCTGTCTTTCTGACTGTCTGCCAGTCTGTGTTGATTTGTGTATGTGTGTGTTTCATTCATTGCTCTCTTTAGCACATGGCTTTAAATGTATTACAATGTTTTTAGCTGTATTTCAAAGTTAAGTAGGTAAGCCACAGTCCCTCATTCTCATTTTGTTAAGGTATTACTATATGATTCATATTTCTGCATTTTTCGTTCCCATGCAGAATTCAGTCAAGGAATGATTCTGCCTTCCAAGGACAGCCCAGCCTTGCAGAGGTCATCTCCAAACAATCAAGAAAGTGAGACACTCAAACCAGCTGAAAACACCTCTGCCAGTTCAGGGGATACAAATAAAAATGACAGTAAGTCAATATACATGTATTCACATGAATTCAGTGTTCTATCTCTGTAGAGAATAGTATAATTATTAGGTTTATTAAAGATGAAAGAGATATTTCGACCAATATATACATGTATGTAGGTTGTTCTAAGGGTTGATAACATCATCCAATGGATTGCAATAAAATAATAATAAAAAAAAAAACATCCCCAATTAACAGGCAAAATTCAAAAAGCATAGGCAATCATTGTTGGAACCCAGAGGATATGGGAACTATGAGGCTTTTGAGCTAGTCCCTTTTAAGTTATTATCATATTACTATTGTTATCATGATTACAAATAGTTTATGATTATTTGTTACCATTTAATTATTGGTTGAATGTCAATTAGACAATATATCCTTAAACAATCTTTCTCTTGTGGAACAGGGTACTAAACGTGTAGGATGCAGCAGGTTTTTTTTTTTTTTTCTGCAACACTACCTTCAAGTGTCATTATACAATCTCTAATTCTTTCCAATGCATCAAAAATTGTGCTATACCAGTAGCCAGCCACATGCAGTCTTTGACTGTCTGTTTGTTTATAAAGACATTTTCTTTTAGTCCCGTTGTTCCCCTATTGACATGGCATTGATGGATAACATCAATCCTACCGGGAACTTGATGAAATACTGGGAAGTGAGGTTACATATTTTATTGTCCTGTAAATATATATTTTTGCCATCAAGATGTAAATGTCTGGGTCTTGTCTTTACTTGATTGACCAATTTTATTTTTAGCAGCAATACACTATGCCAATTTTATCTGTTACCATAATTTATAACAAAATATTTAATGCAATTTGTAAATATCTGATTTCATTTTTTTGATTCTGGTAGTTGAAAATCAGCGACAGAAGTGTTTTTTTCCCTTATAGTGACCATCTGAGTATCCTTCCCCACTCCATTGGGTCAAATCTCTTTACAAGTCATATTAGGTTGTTTATCATTTCTACAAGCTAGGCAGATGTTTTCTTCTCACTAATTTAGCTGATACAAGCAAGGTTGGCTGCCCCATCGCTACCAAAAAGCTGACCATGAAGCAAGAATTTCTCACAACTGCAGAAGAGTTATATGCAGCACTAACAGAACAACAGGTGATGTACGTAATATATACTGGACATACCAGACAAGAGAAGCGTCTCTAACTAACACACAGACATAACTCAATAAACCAAATAGTATACACTACTCATAAACATCTGAATTTATGAACAAGACATAAAACTTGAAGTTAATAAACACTTTACTTCAAAAGTACCTCTCTTCACCCTGGAGATGGATATCAGTGAATGGCCAGAGGAGCCTGCTGAAATCCCAGGAGGTAACCTTGTAAAGGATTGATATCCCATCAAAGTGGGAGGGGGGCAGAGATGGGGAGTACTGCTCCTGTTCTCTTCGTATTATAGAAACCAGGATAACAGGGCTCAACAGTAAAGGTATCCAACTAGCCACAGTCTAGTAGAAGTTCAGTTTTGGCCTGAGGTTTTCGATTTCCACTAGCCAGTTTGGCTAGTAAACAAACTGAAATCGTTTTAACATCTAAATTGTCACTAGCCACTTGGCTAGTACGTTGAAAAGTCAGTGTCAAGCCCTGGGATAAGCTCCAGCTGGATGGGCGTGTAGATTCAAGAACTGGCATCATCTTTACCTACCAATCAAGTGTAATGTATCACAAAGTTAGAGCTAGCTGGTAAAGTTCACAGGAAAAGGACGTGACCTTCAAAGTTGTGTTTTCCAAAATGATGCTTATAAATTCTGTACTCTAGTCTCACAACTAAAAACAGCATTTTTGGTAGCAACTTATCGTCAGTAAAAAAAATTAAGTCCACCAACATAAACTTTGTTAGTTTTTACGTTCATTTATTTCACACCATGAGTTTGCCAGTAAGCCCCAACTCGATGTACTTTACCCCGTTTTTTAGCTCATGATGTAACCTGTCAAGCAATGGCCATTAAGTGATAACCTGGTATCTGTTGTTTCATGTCTACAGAGACTTGAAGCTTTAACCCAGAGCTCAGTAAAAGTGGATGCTAGTCGTGGAGGAACATTTGTGCTATTTAATGGCAATGTGTCAGGAAAATTCCAGGAATTGGTTAGTCAAAAAGGATTTTTGCTGTTACTGTGAAAGTTGTAGCAACTTAAACAAAATTGTCTTGGGAATTTCTCTGTTGATAGCGACACTGGTCAACTCCCATGAGTGACCAAAACAGAATTTCTCCATACAATATCAATACAAAATCAAAGCAGACAAGCGATGAGAATAAAGAAAAGTATCAATGAGGAGATTATTATTTGATCCCAAAACCAAATTCTCAGAACTGATATCATAAGAATAGTATGGTAGACAGGAAGGAGAATAATATTGAGATCTTTGGAATGAAAGGGTTAGAAGTTTGTTGCAATTTCTCAGGTTTCAGAGGAAAAGATTGTTATGCTGTGGAGATTCAAGAGCTGGCCTGAAGGACACCATTCCACTGTGAAAATCACTTTGGATGAGAAAGATGACCGTACAGAGTTGACCTTAGTACAGTCAGGCATCCCTGAGGAAGATTTTGAGCGCACAAAAAGTGGATGGAAACAGTACTACTGGGAAGGAATGAAACGAACATTTTGTTGGGGGATGCGATACTTCTGACTAGAGTTTCTGTATGACTTGGCATTGTTTTACTTTGAGCATGTAATGGTGACCTAAACTGTGTGTTGTTTGTATGTCTTTGTTGGACTCAGATTTACTTGAGATTTAGTAGGGCCTGTAGGTACATGTATTCTGGGTAATTTTTGTGGGTGGGGAGCACAGGGAAATGGTTGATCCTGCTTCTAATGCATTGGTAGTGTGTAGGCCTACATGATAGCTGACATGTTCGTTGATCTTACCAACTCGTCGGTAGTGTGTTGGTTGTTTGTCAGCCAACGCTTTTGTAGATGGGTTTGTGTGAAACTGATGGGGTTTTATACCTGTACTGAGAAATGGAGCATAAACCTGAGTTTTTAGCTCAAAATTATATGCAGAGGTTACTTAATAGGAACAGATTAAAAAAGAACCATTGGAAAGAAAAAGTTTACAACCCCTTGCCCTTTGCATCCACTTTATTTCTCCACTTCACATTTCTTGTTCAGAAAATGCAATAACTTGCATGGTGTCTGTGTCAGCTCATACATGTGGAATTTTTTAGTGTAAGTAGGTAAATTTTTAGAAGAGAAGAACCTAAGACCATCCCATAGCAAAGATATTGGGGTCCTCAATAACATTTGAAGGGATAACTTGCACTGGTAAATGAAGAGGAAATTAGCGTATTGCTGTAATAGAACATAAAGTAAGCAGCTTTAATACCAAAAAAGACTGCCATCAATCAATGCTTGCCTTTTTTCCATGGAGAAAAGTAGCTGAACATCATTCTATTCTCTTTGTTGATTCAATTTTGTCAGTTACAAGTTTAAACTTGGCAAAGTCCAAATTGGTGGAAACAGTAAGTCTGATATGCTGTGTGGTTGTTAATGATCTTTCCAACTTTGGTATTTTTTGTTCTCTCTGTCAACCTGTAAATTGTAGTCTAGGTTTTTGAAGTATCACCAGTGCCTTTTCATGCAGACAAGAAGTAAATTTTTAGTAGGTTTAAACTACATGTAGCAATGAATGTATTGTTTTGAGATCTTGTTCCCCAGCAATTTCATAATGAGCTATTACTCTCATAATAAAACTGCTTTTACTTATAATGCACTGATTGTATATCTGTCTTGCATTTTGCATCACTTGGAAGTTATGGTCAGACAAGTAAGATTCCTTCAAATCGTGTACACACTAGCATCTTTGGGCATTTTCTCCACACTGATCTATTGTGTATTTCTCATGGTACTGGTAAGGAGAATTTGTTTAGCAAGCAAGAGCTTCAGTTGGTAATCATTTCCTTTATTGTCAAAACTAGAGCACTGGATTTGGTAGTGATATTGTAAGGAGAATTTTGATGCTGGCACCCCAATGAGTTAAAAAGGAAGAGCTTAAAGCAGGAGATACCTTCATGTATTAACACTAATTACCTATTGGAGTGATGTTGTGACAGAAATGACTCAAAGGCAGAGGGTCAAAAATGCTGTAAGGAATTAATGAGAGAAAGCTTATTTTCCACAGGACACCGCTCAACCTTTTCTTAATCCTTTTAAACCAAACAACTTCAAATGAATAAAACTGAATCTTCAGTTCGGATCCAAATAATGATCTTTAATAATGAAAATTAGAAAAATTGAAAGACTTCGCAACTTTAAATACTTTTTTTTTTTAAAAATAGGTCTTTGTAGCCATAATAGTATATACAGTTCATGGAATGTTATCAAACACTGCATTTATGAAAACTTTTGACAAAAAATTTCTATTCTGGTTTGGTATGCCTATCAAACATTCCTGCATAGATCTTTTTCTCTCTTTCTCTTATCTTCTTCAACTCCTCATCCAGAGATGCCAACATTTTCTTTATACTTGAATCTAATGAAGACAGAAGAAAGAAAACACTAAGAATGAGACACTTGCCAATACCTTAAGAACTACAGTCAATTCCCCATAACGTGAACCTTTGCTAACTTAACCACACCCTAACTCGCACCAAAATTGATTTCCCCTGGAATAGTCCCTTTTACAGTGTGGGCTTGGTGGCCAAGCCTTTGAACAGGAGTGAGGCTAAGGGTGACCTTGTTACGATAGAGATGTTGCTGCATTTCAAATGCAAATTTCTTTGTTATGATGCTGAGTAGATACAGGTCTCTATCACAACAGGGTCACCCTTAGCCTCACTCCTGTTCAAAGGCTTGGCCACCAAGCCCACAACTGTAAAAAGGACTATTCCATCATAATTTACTGCCATTTTACCCTCAGTGACTCAAACCCTCAATAACTGGAACCTGTTGCTGGCTCAAATATATATCTTATTGACCAAGCGTGAGGGCCCTACTGGGAGAATATCAGCCAGAGGTCTTG